AAAGGCTTTTTAAAAACCATCTGTTTTTTTCTCAGTAAAACACATTTTGTCTTCAATTATTTTCATATTGCATATTTTTCCTATTTTAATTTTTGTTTTGAAAGTATGGTTAAAAACTGGTAAAATGTACCAACAATCACATTTAAAAAATATACACTTTTTGATATACCATTAAAAAAAATAATAACAGGTAGCCCATCTGAATTAGGACATTTAGGCTATCCATCTAATAGTAGCCTACCAAAATCTTATTAACAGTAGAAGTTAAATCTTACTGTAGTCTTCAAATCTGGGTACTGTCTTACGTTTAAAAATCACAAAGGGAGTTTGATCCCATCAGGCTAACATGACAGTCACGACTGATGCATGATGCAGCTGTAAGGTTTTCTTTTTCTTTAGTTTTTACTGGCGATCTTTACAACACCCATTACATTAGGTATTTCATGGCACACTCGTTTTATGCGTATTTGGCGCCACCTATTGTGGGTGTATTATTTACATGTCAAAGTCTAGACCCTGAATATAAGACGACTGTGTTTTTTCAGATGTATTTCCAAGAAAAAAACATCGTCTTATATTCGGGTCAATATGGTACACAGTATACATACATATATTATGTAAACAAAACTTATTTTGGATGCGATTAATCGTTTGACAGCACTAGAGTTTTCTCTTAAAACCCATTCACAAAGCTGCTGAGACAAACTTTTACTAAGGAATCGAAAGAAGTCTCAAGCTAAGAGTAAGGGGTGGGGTTGACCTCGTTGCTATGGACAGTGATTGGCTGATAGTCTCTGTCAGAGATTTATTCATGAAATATTGTAGAGCACAATATTATGTTGCCATATTCAAATAAAGGTTTAAAAATAAAACATTTTAATTGCCAGAATTTGCCACATTCAAATAAAGATTTTAAAATGCAGGATATGTGTCACTAATTAAACAAGTATGTTCAGCTTATTGTCAGCCTCTTACATGTATGCTTCTCAAAAACAATTAGCGGATATGCATATAAACAGCCTTTTAATTAACAGAGTAGAATAATCATGGCTGATAGTACTACATGCAAACGTAAAAAAAAACTAACAAACTGGACGCAAGCACAGCTGTTACTTGCCCAACTGGTTAATGAAAACAAGGATATAATCAAAGGAAAATTTGTAGTTGGAGTAACCTCCAAAACCAAAGGTGATACCTTTTTAAAAAGGTCATTATCATAAAATGTTTATGTTCCGAGGCAGATTGCCGGCAACAGCCATTTTAGGATAGTTTGTGGCTTAGTCTTAGTGATTTAGTAGTCCCTATAATCAAAGGAAAATTTGTAGTTGGAGTAACCTCCAAAACCAAAGGTGATACCTTTTTAAAAAGGTCATTATCATAAAATGTTTATGTTCCGAGGCAGATTGCCGGCAACAGCCATTTTAGGATAGTTTGTGGCTTAGTCTTAGTGATTTAGTAGTCCTCTTCACTACTCCTAACCTTTCACAGATTTAAAAGCTAGCTAAAACACTTTGGGAAATACTCTTGGAGCAAAAATCAACACGCCAATTATTTTTAAGGTTTTCTCCTTAAATCGGCGAGTTATGGGCTACTTTTAGCCTTAAGATGTTTTGTGAATATGGGCCCAGATGGATTTTTTTTTTTTAGTAGGTCTACTTTTAACACTGTTTTATAGCGGTCTGAAAGACTGTTTAAGGTTACACTTACTGTGACGTTTTGATTTCTCCCGCAGTTGATAGATGAGCAGATCCTTTGTGTACATGGTGGCCTTTCACCTGACATCAAAACTCTGGACCAGATACGCACCATTGAACGCAATCAAGAAATTCCTCACAAGGGAGCATTTTGTGATCTTGTCTGGTCCGATCCAGAGGATGTGGACACCTGGGCTATCAGCCCAAGGGGTGCTGGCTGGTTGTTTGGTGCTAAGGTTACCAATGAGGTAAGAACATTTTCAATGCACAGTCAGTTTTGTGTAGGTAGTGAGTTTGGAAATCTGCATATTGTCAATCGCTGCCTGAGTTGAAATGGAGGTCTAGTTGTTGTCATCTTCGTGTACTTTTTTACAAAAATATCGAGAACTAGAAATAAAAGTAATTTCAAATCAGATCAAAACTAAGACCAATGTAATTGTATTTAGTTTTGTGGCCTCTGGATTTTCTTGGATTAATTGAATTTTGATGAACAATGCTTTGAGCTAAATATTAGTCTGACAATGAAATAATTAATTAGTAAATATTCAAAATATTTAATTCAACGTATTGGCTGTTTGATAAGTGTGACATAATAGTAAACACAACAAATGTTAGTAAATGTTCCTGTTTATCCAAAAACTGAATAGTTTTTTCTTCCCCCTCTCTTTCCATTAAAGTTTGTTCACATCAACAACTTGAAGTTGATTTGCCGTGCACATCAGTTGGTTCACGAGGGCTACAAATTCATGTTTGATGAGAAGCTGGTGACCGTCTGGTCGGCCCCCAACTACTGCTACCGCTGCGGTAACATTGCCTCTATTATGGTCTTCAAAGACGTGAACACAAGGGAGCCCAAGTTATTCCGGGCTGTTCCTGATTCGGAAAGGGTCATACCACCTAGAACGACAACACCCTACTTCCTCTGAGGTCTTCAGTGTCGCTGCTTCCAGCCCTCTCCTTTTCATTGTTCGTTGTCATGGTCTTTAATTTCTCTGTGTTTGGTTTATTTCAACAAATATTTTTGTAAAGATCGAAATGCTCTCCAGAATAGCAACATTAAACTAAATAAGTGGACATCCTCATGCTCTTCTTACAGGGCTTTAAATGTAGATCTAACAGTCATTGACCATTTAATGATAAAAGTTCATGGTGTAACAACTCGCCTGATCAGAGCAATGTGGTGTTTGTTTTTCAGAGAACAGATCAGAAAAAAAAAACAAGTGCTGGTCAGTATTCTCCAAATTTCTCCAAAATAGTGACACTGTTCTTTTTCGTTGCTTTCAAGTGTAGAAAAGGGTTGAGGCGATGACCAGACAACAGGACAAAGGAGGCTGTGATTATTTTGTACATTAATATAATTGTATTGATTTAATCTTCTTTTTTTTTTTTCTCAGATTTGTTGTATTTTATTATTGTAGAAAAACGGCAGCCCATTTACCAATTAAATATTGAAAATAAACGCCTTTATTATTAAGTTACATTTCTGGTGTTGTCTCCTAATCGATGGAAGCATGAAAATATCATTTATTCTTTGCACACATGGCCATTTTAAACGCACTACATTAAGACACCGCAGAGCGGCGCACGTCCCATTTAATTCCAACAGGCAGCGCCATAGATGGCAGTACTACGCTAGTCCCGCCTCTACGAGTAAGTTGTAGCCTGACTGACACAGCAGCCAACCAATGGAATGCATCGAACGTCACTCACAGACCGGTGGTGCTCTGACAAACAAGTTAGTTTGAGCGGGTTGCTACAACAGGCAATGAAAATTCAACTGGCCAGACAGAACCGTCGACCGCAGTAGATGCCGAGTGGCAGATACTCCCTGCTCTTCCCTGGGAGGGTGATTTGAATGAGCTGGATGTAAATGACGGTGCGCCACCGCACTGGATGTGTAGATTTGTGTCGGGGCGAGATTCACAGGCGCGCTCTAACGTGAACTGGAAACGCTGTTTTTGAGGAGCAGAAACAGGAGATAGCTGCACTAAACTACACCAGTGCTCAGGTTGGGTTTCAAATCAGTGACTTTTTGACAGATATTGCTCGGCGACGTATGCGTTAGGCAAAAGAGAAACACGACTTAAGTTAACACGTCTTGGTGGACTAAGATAGTCAAGACAAACCATCACTAAAATATGATTTTCATTCCGTAGCTTTCGGTCAGAGCGCAATGTTTTTTTTTATTTTATAGAAGGGTGTGCGTATATCATCCCCATATGTGTAACGTACATATTTTTATATGTGTGTAAATAAGCCTAACGGTGCACATCAAATCCATTCAGCATCTGCTAAAGCCACAGTTTTGTCAACTCTGATGGTCATTTTGAGGACAAGAACGCTTTTGCTCTCTGAACGCACTAAAACCATGTTAATACAGTTCTGTCGCCTCTATTACCGTTACACGATCCAACCTACAGTTTCATCTTTGACAGAGTCACACAGAGTTGTCGTGTATTACCGCATCCTGATCTGAGAGAGAGAGAGACCGCATTCGCGTGAGAGGTAAGTCATTATAGATGAGACTCAGGCTTGATGCTCTTGAGTAAATGCATTTAGATGTGCTGGATGGCTTAATGGTGTGAAGCGTCACAGAAATGAGCGTTGTGGTCCTTCACACTGGTAATTGATGTAGAACAACAGCGATCAGTCAATCAGTCCGCGTTCCTGGTCAATGAACGGAACGAGCGCTATTACGCAGAGATGCAAGCTGCCAAACGCTTTACGTTTAGTTTTGATTCTCACCCTTTGTCTATTTTTTCTTTTAGTCCACCCAGATATTCGAGTCTGGGGTGATATTGTGAATGGAACCCGAGCCAATAAGCATCTCTGTATTATTGTTGAATGAAGACGGTTGAAAAATCATTGGCTGTCGCAAGAATTACTCTATGTTCAAGCTGGGTTCATTCTGTCCTGCAACAGCACGGGATTGAATCTTGCAGAGCGCTCGCTGTCTGATATTTTTATTGTTCACGATCATGCTGCATCGGCCGTGCGTGCGTAATCTAACTGTAAAGGCAAGTGAATTGTATAGGAAGCATATTATGGCTGTTATGAACATGCATTCAACTTCAGATGAGATCCCATGGTAATCGTGCCAGAATAACTGACATCAGATGGCTGGAACCGAGAACAAAAAGAGAGATTTGTTGCAGACAAGCATGTTTTCTCAGCATCAGCTCTCACACATCATCTGTGAAAAGAGCCACCAGGTTGCTTAGCTGAAATGACGTCATGCAGACTGGCTTGTTATGGAAGAATGAGCTCGTGGAAGAAAATTCTTCTTTTGTTACTATTGATACAAGTATATGAGTATTTTCTTATTTAGTTATTGACAATAATGGGTGTAGTTTATCTCAAAATATTCATTTTATTTGAACTCCATTGTCAACTTATTTTAGTTGCCTGCACCCTATTTAACAGTCAATATCAACACAGCTGTGATTCAAGTACCTCAGTTTGTGCTAACATTGAGTACAACATTGTGAGTCTAATATTTCTAGAAGTCCACATGAAATAAAAATTGACCCTATTTACTTTGCACAACATCCTCAACCACTCCCCTCCAACCATCATCTAGAGAGCCAAGGAGGTGTGATAAAATCAAGCCCCTCCCTCTATTTTCCCCATTCAATATTTTGTTTCACTCAGAAATGCATAAATTAAATACTGAAGTCGGTCACAACTTGTGGTTCATATGGCAAAAAAATTTCCAGTTAGCTTGTTTAGTTTTTTTCCGCCAGTGAAAATGGTTCCAAAATATCAAGCGTTTTGTTTCAACTGGTCTGGAACAGCATACGTGAGTGGAGCAGAGAGATGGTGATTTTCCCTCCCATGCTAAAAACTTTCTGTAGGTTTTCCACTTCCCGCTCATTGCTACTCCATATCAATGGCATACAAAGAAAATGCAGAATAATTAGAACAATCATTAACATAAATAAATAACAGAGTGTCATATCTATACACATTTTTCCCAGAACGTTCTTGCGACCCTGTAGCAATTCTTCCACGGCCTGGTAGTGGGTCGTGACCCGGTGGTTAGGGACCTCTGATCTAGAGGGAGAAAAATAGAAGAGGAGATGGGGAGGTGGAGGAATGCTGGAAGAATTGACGCTGGGACGGTGCACTGAGAGCTGCTTATATAGGCTCGTAATGATGATTGACAGGACTGAATGATTAGGCTCCTCCCGAACCTACGTTTGGAACTTCATTTAGACAAACACTCGCAAGCTTTTTCTAAGCATTTTCCATCAGGGAATCCCATCGCCATAAAAAAAGCACATTCCACTACATCAAGTGAATGATGCAAGTTTAAATGAACTCGTATGTAAACTTCGGGTAGCTCTACAGACAGAGCAACACTGTGATATCATGCAGATCATGCTTAATAATAAATCAGCTCCATAGTGGATTCCAAGTGATCAAGGGCTTAAGATGTTCCATTTAAACCAAATGCAGGACTTCCACCAGTTGTATGCAACATATGTAATGACGCCAGTGAGATGAAGGGAAGTTAAAGTGGGAAAAAAACAAACCAAAGTGGCACTCAGCCTAGTAGTGAGAGAAACCCTGCTCAGAGTGGTCATATAGAGTGAGAGGAAACGCTGATTCTGTGAGCCAATCAAATTTGTGTTGCATGAAGCACAATGAAAGTTATTGTTTTTTAGCTAGGGGAATATTGCAAGCTAGTTCATAAGCATAGCAAAGGTTCTCCCTCCCTCTGTTTGTGTCTTGTGTTATATAGGACACCTGTCCTATTTTCCTCTGCGTTTACTTCTTACCACATTCCTGTGGATCTGAATACTGTTAGAGAGACTTGGGCTCTTCAGCCACCGAGTCCACCGTGTTTTCATCCCTAACTCACTTTCACTCTCTTTTGAGTGCTGACGTTTCACAGTGACGGTATTCCATTACCATGAGCAGTCATGTAGGCCTTTGCGCTAAGGTTAGATGCATTAGTAAGCATATGTGTTTGCGTGACCTCTTTAGAGAGATTGCAGCTTCAATTTCATGTAATGACTGATCTTTTGTAGTATTATTTGTTTTTATTTGGACTTTGTATATCCAAGTAGGCTGGTCTTTTATAACCTAGTCAAAGATGACACAAGTAAACACAACATGCAGTTTTTAAATTACGTTTTTTATTATTAAGGGAAAACAAAATCCAAAACTACATGGCCCTGTGTGAAGAAGTGTTTGCCCCCCTGTTAAAACTGTGGTTTATCACACCTGAGTTCAATTTCTCTAGCCACACCCAGGCCTGATTACTGCCACACCTGTTCGCAATCAAGAAATCTCTTAAATACGACCTGCCTGACAAAGTGAAGTAGACCAAAAGATCCTCAAAAGCTAGACATCATGCCGAGATCCAAAGAAATTCAGAAACAAATGAGAAAGAAAGTAATTGAGATCTATCAGTCTGGAAAAGGTTATAAAGCCATTTCTAAAGCTGTGGGACTCCAGCGAACCACAGTGAGAGCCATTATTCACAAACGGCAAAAACATGGAACAGTGGAGAACCTTCCCAGGAGTGGCCGGCCGACCAAAATTACCCCAAGAGCAAAGCGACGACTCATCCAAGAGGTCACAAAAGACCAGAAAACATCTTGATGATCCCCAAGACTTTTGGGAAAATACTCTGTGGACTGACGAGACAAAAGTTGAACTTTTTGGAAGGTGTGTGTCCCATTACGTCT